TACAGCATATACTTATGTATTTCAAGCCTAAATGTGGCCAGCTTACCAATCAGGTCAATTGATTTTAGAACAGACCTTTTCCATTACTCATCATGTAAAGAGGACATGAACAAAGTCTTAAAATAAGTTGTCTACTCACCTGTGGCCATCAGCTCCTGACAATGCATATTGGCTGCTTTGTAGTCATGGAAACGAAGTGCTTGTTCAACTAAAAGGATTAGAACCTGTCCACGCCTTTCTTCTGGGTCTTCACCTACAAGCACATGCACATGACTCAATGATTATGGCAGCATCAATTGAATAAAAAAGAATTCATTACAACTGTTTTTCAAATTAATTCAAAAATAAAACAGAGATTAGACTGGTTTTAAATGATCAGAGGACAAAAGGTCACAGCAACTTTGACCTTTCAATCTACTTATTTTTTTAAATCCCCTTATCTTCTAATCAATTTACTTATTAAGCATGAAATTAGCCCTCAGTTTCCTGAGAAATCAATAATAATATCAGTTCTTAACTAAAATACCCACATCAGAAAGTCCAAAATGAGAGTAGTTTATAGCTCTACAGAAAAGTCTTGGTATTACTGTGGTAAGGGAAAGAGAAAAAAAAATCTATGCTTCGAAAAGAAAGCAGGTTATAAAAGGCTTACGAAATAATGACTAGTAGATTGAGTGAATGGATGAAGACAATGAAGCAAAAATATTTCTCACCTTAAAAATTCAACTAGTATTTAGAAACCAGAATATAAGTGCTGTCCAGAGCACTAAAAAAGACTGTCTCCTTGAACAAATTCTAGAACAAATTCAAATTCTAGAAATCTACTAAGGATGCAGATGTTTAGTGTGAAGAAGAAAAGCTAATGGCAGCATGACAAGGCTTTGAGTATCCGAAATACAATTTAAAGTGTGGACATAAATTCTCTGATACTCCTTTTTAAAGATGGAGCTTAATGCCCCTCCTTTTGTGTGTCGGCTGGTCTTATTGATTTACTTCTAACAAATCATAAAATGGAAATGATGGTGTGTGACTTCAAGACCAGATCATAAAAGGCAATACAGCTTCCTACTTGCTCTCTTGTGGATCAACTACTCTAAGAGAAACCAGCTGCCACATTGAGGGGTCATTCAAGCAGCTCTATGGAGAGTTCCTCCTGGCCAGGAACTGAGGCCTCCTGCCAATAGCCATGTGAATAAGCTATCTTACAAGTAGGTCCTCTAGCCCCAGCCAATCCTTCAGGTGCAATCTATAAATATTTCCCTTAAATTTGGGAGGGCCTGTGTGACTGCCTCCATAAATGAAATACAATGGAAATGAAGCTGCCCAAATATCAAGGCTAGATTAAAAAGTGCCTTCAAGAATTTTGTTGCTTTGTCTTGGGACATGGACTCTGGGAACATTCTGCTACCATGAAAGAAATCTGGGTATTCTGAGGTCATCATTTGATAAGATCACAAGGAGAAAGGACATGGAGAAGAGATACATGTAGAGCCCTAACTATTCTAGCCCCCAGCTATTTAACTCTTACCATCCCAGGTGCCCAGGTGTGTGAGTAAAGGAGCCCAAATGCTGCTCATCAAAAGATGAGCCCAACCCTAGCCACTACCTGACTGCAATTTTGTAAAAGACCCTGAAATGCCTAGCTGAGCCCAGTCAATCTCCAGAACTGGGAGAAATAAAAATAAATGGTTGTTTTGTAAGCCACTAATTTTTTAGGTGGCTTGTAAAGCAGCAACAGATAACCAGAACACTTGAGAAGGTAAAGGTCATCTGCTTGGTGATACTTTTCTTAACACCCAGGGCAAAAATTAGCCTTGCCTTTCTTTCAGTTCTCTAATATTTGTTTACAGAAGTCATGTACTACCATCATATCCTATGTTGCACTATAATTATTTGTTTCCTTAGCCCTCTAAAATTCTAAATTCTCAGAGGACAGCAGGTATGTGTAACAGAACTTTGTACCCATAGTACCCACCAGAGTAGTATTACTTTATCTGCTTTTCTACTTCCTCTACTGTAAAATGTGGCAAACGAGAGGATGTTGTGCACAGTGAGAGTCAATATGTAAAAATAGTAGGAAGGGCACTGCCACATAGGAATTACTGATACTCAGCTATTTCTGTTATGTACACACAGGTGGCTCACAATAAAAATATGCTGAATGAAATGTAGATACTAGCCTTATCTGTTGATGATACTGCACTAAGTTGTAATATGATTCCACATTAAAATTTGTGAACTAGAATGTGGTAAAATTGAGATGGTCCCAAATATTAGAACTAAAATAGCTGCATTAAAGAAATGGCCTAAATACCATGTGTTCTACATATGGTGCTCTGTAGCATATGGGAAGAATTCTATATGAATTTTCAATGGAAAGAATGTTCTTCCAATGAAAAATTCATGTAGGTTGCCAGGGCCACTGGTAGGTACTTCTGTTAATATGTCAACATGTCACAAAGACAAAAAAGGAAATGAATCCTAGCAGGGACATGGAAATGCAGATGGCATCTTTAAGCTGCCTGGCTAGCTTCTGTGGATTGGATCCTTATGAAATTCTTCCCTGATGAGCAGGGTGCTTCAAAGTTTTCAGGGTGCTTTCACATGCATTTGGGTCTCTATCTCTTGTAGGTGAAGAAAGGGGATGTCATTCAGATTTTCCAAATGTAGAAAATGGAGCTAAAGTAATTTAGCAAATGCACGGCAGACTCGGGACTTGAACTCGTCTTGTAACTCCACACCCAATGTTCTCTCCAGTTGTCCCAGATGCCTCTCAGTGGATAATTGGCCCTGATCACAGTCCCTTCACCTTTCCAAGTCTGTTGCAAGTCCAAAGACAAAGAAGCGAATGCTATGCCTTTGCACAAACTAGAAAATAACTACTAACACACAAACGTTTACTAAAACTAGAGACCTTAAGAATAAGAGTCCTACACATTAGAATTTTAAAACATTAACATGTGCATCCACTAAATATATTAAATGTATCTCTATCTTTCCAAGCTAAAAATATCAATATAAATCCCCTTTACTTTTGTGCCTATAATATGTGACTTAGACTACAACTTCAAACCATTGCTTATGGAACAAAACGACCAACAACTGTTCTTGTAGAGATCAGCATACAAAACGTATCAAAATACAAAACTAAATATTAAAAGACTCTGGTAAGCAGAACAGTGTGGTTAAAGAAATACTAAATGCAGAGTCAAAAAGAGTTTCCTTGAAAGTCAGCGTCTGTTATTTAACCCTGCTGAGCAAGATATTTAACTTTTCTGATCCTCAATTTCCCTTTTAAAATGAGAAGAATACCATCACTGTCACCATTTATAAGAAGATTAAATGAGATAAAGTATGTGAAAACACCACCAGTGAATGCACAAAATTTTCTTAATGAATCGCTCAGGTTCGAAAACACAAAACCAAATTTGGACACTGGAGGTCAACTGGTAAGGCTGGCTTGTTCTATAGTCAATCTTTCTGGTTATAAATGGCAACACTGACTTCTGTTCCTAATCTCAAAACCACTTTGCGACATCCTGAATGAGGTTGTCTTCATTTAATGGACAGATGGTCCCAGCAGCTCAATATATACACATTTTTATAACATGCTAATCTTTCTAGAAAAAGACTAATTCTTGTCCAAAGGATGCTCTTCTGATACCTGTAAGGATACATTATGCTATTCACCTAGGATGATGTCAAGAATAACACAGAGACCTTATTCTGCAGTTTAGTATTCGAAAGACTTACCTGCAACCCTCAGCAGCTCAGCAAGGCCCAGAAGCTTGGCGGATTGTTTGTAGCATGTGGGGGAGTGGGAAATACACTCCTTGATGAGGCTGATCCGATCAGAGCACAATCGCACTACAGAAGAAAAACATATTAAAGACTTGGACCAGAGACATCACAAAAGGGTGTCATGACGTTTCTAATATGAGGTAACCAGACAAAATGAAAACTGTGTTAATCTCCACCTCAATGTGAAGTAAAAGGGGCACACTTAACAAACAACAAAATTATTATTGCTTCTGAATAATGTACAATATGGATCTTCTCCTTTATAACCAAGCTTCTAAAGCACAGCAAATAAACTATCAATCTGAAGCTAGAAAAATGTGTCACCTTTTTAAGTACCATGTCAGGACTTAGGGGAAATTTTGAACAAGGAAGAACTTGTCTTTGAAAACTTCATCTAGGCCAGGCACGGTGGCTCAGGCCTGTAATCCTAGCACTCTGGGAGGCCGAGGCAGGAGGATCCCTTGAACTCAGGAGTTTGAGACCAGCCTGAGCAAGAGGGTGACCCTGTCTCTACGAAAAATAGTAAAAATTAGCTGGGTGTGGTGGCACACGCCTATAGTCCCTCCCAGCTACTCCAGAGGCTGAGGGATGAGGATAGCTTGAGCCCAGGAGTTTGAGGTTGCTGTGAGACATGATGACACCACTGCACTCTAGCCCAGGAGACAGAGTGAGATTCTGTCTCAAAAAAAAAGAAAACTTTAATACTTATTATACCAGACCCTTCCCCCACTTCACCCTCCAAAACCTGGTCCCTGTTCCCAATATCCATTTGCTATCTCTGCTATATTACCCCAGTTTGGAAGGCAGGAGACCTCAAAGTGCTTACTGTTCCAATTTATTAACCTCTCTCCAAAAATAAGGCCAATCCTCTCATATAAGCTAGATATTAAGAAAATAAAACCTGCCTGATTAAACCAGTTCAGACTATGGAAAAATGAAGAATACACACACACACACACACACAAAAAAAAACCTCAGTTAAAGGGTATCGTATATATTCTAGGAATAAATGGTACTTACTTAGAGTAGATATGTCAACCTTTAAGAAGCAAAGTACTGCTGGGGGAGGCTTGCCCCAGTAACTATGGTAACAACAGCTGAAATGAATGTGAACAGGTGAAATGAATGTGAATTATGACCCAGGCACTGCTGTAGGTGCTTTATGTATATTAACCCTACAAAGCAGAACCTTACAAGGCAGGTACTATTATTATCCTCAAGGGAAGAAACTGAGGTGCAGAAAGGTTAAATACTTCGGCAAAGGTCACTGAAAAAGGGATAGGACTATCATTCAACCCTGCTCCCTAAATGTTGTTCATATCTTTGATCCTTTATTCACTCCCAAATCCACAGCTATTCCCCATATATCCTGTGTTATCTCAAAACTTCTAGGTATGTGAAAGGGGTCCCAGAGGTTGGGGAGATAAAGAAGAGAGGTAGTGTTTTTTCTTCGGAATGGGCTTTTTTGTGTTAAGATTTTATTATAATTTAATTTTGGACTTACAGAAAGGTTTTAAGAATAGTACAAAGAACTCCTTTATTCTCTTTGCCAAAATTTATAAATTATTATTTGCTCTATTCACACATGTGCGATCATGCACACGCACCCTCCTTTCTTCCCCCATACACCCACAAATATGTATATACACAAATAATTTTACACACATATATGTGCACACAAATACATATATACACATCTATTTTTTCTGAACCATTTGAGAATAAGTTGCAAATATTATATCCCTCTATTCCTAAATATTACAGTGTGTATTTCCTAAAGTTTAGGCTCTTTTAAGATGAATATTTATATATTTCCTGATAGAATAATCCTATTATGGCCTTTACCATAAAAGATAAAATGTAGACTTCCGTTACTTCCTTCACAATCACTATTGCCTTTATCTACATGTGAGTAGAGTTTCTATAGATTATATTAGTGTTCCCATTTATCCATTGCAATTATTCATATCCCAATACCCACTTCACTGACATTATGCATGGCTCTGTGACTTCTAAGAACAATTAATGTGAGTAGAAATGATATATACCACTTCTGAGCAAAAGCTGTAAGAGTCGTCATGGAATTCCATTATTGATCTTTTCGCTTGGTGATGAGAATGCCACGTGTCATGGAGTTGCTCTGTAGCTAACCAAAGTGAACATGGCTGTGAGCAAGCAATAAGCCTGCTATCGTATGCCATTGAGAGTTTGAGTCTTTTGCTATAGCACCGTCTAGCAAAAGCTCACTGGCAGTATACTTCAAAATTTTCCATAACTTACCACAATCAAAAAATTGTGGGTTTTTTCCTCAATATCTGCTTCTATTTAATGGGGCTTTCTCCAGATTCAATAACATGATGACCATGAGACAGGTACTCTTTATATATTTCTTTTTTTTTTTTGGAGACAGAGTCTTGCTTTGTTGCCCAGGCTAGAGTGAGCGCCGTGGCGTCAGCCTAGCTCACAGCAACCTCAAACTCCTGGGCTCAAGCGATCCTCCTGCCTCAGCCTCCCAAGTAGCTGGGACTACAGGCATGTGCCACCATGCCCGGCTAATTTTTTCTATATATACATTTTTTTAGTTGTCCAGATCATTTCTTTCTATTTTTTAGTACAGATGGGGTCTCGCTCTCGCTCAGGCTGGTCTCAAACTCCTGACCTTGAGCGATCCACCCACCTCGGCCTCCCACAGTGCTAGGATTACAGGCGTGAGCCATCGTGCCCGGCCTATATTTCTAATTTGATTTTCAAAACAGTACTTGTCACAGATATTATCAGCATTCTACACGCATAAAAACCAGGGTTTTCATAGCTGGTTTTATGGGCTTGTTGATGAATTCTTGTATCCCTCTTAGAGAAGCTCTAGCTTGAGTAATTCTACTGAGCTGACTTCCTTACTATTACTCCTCTCTTTCTAGCTCCATAAATCAAGGTGGAAAACTGAAACCACACATAACAATGGATCATCATTTTCTCTAAACTTCTATTTAATGGAAAACTCACATTTGGTTCTTTGTGTCCTTACTGATCTAAGAAATATGTACTACTACTATTTCAAGTACATTAAATATATTTGGAGAGTAGGATTCTAATGTGCAAAGGACTTTTTACTTTATTTGTTCCTGAATCTCTGGAAAATCATTTTACCAGTTCTCTTTTACTTCTAATTTTGGGACATGCTTAATTATATTTCAAGATGTGATTTCTCAGATAAATAAATTCAAGCCTTAGATGTTATCATGTTTCCATGAAGTGGGTATTCAATTCCTAAAATCCCTTTCCAAATGGAATGAATGAATGAACATGAAAAAGATATGTATGTATTTTAAAAATTAGGAGTACCTCACTTTCCTGTAGAACTCATAAACATATCTCAAATGTTAAAAAAAAAAAAAAAGACAATAACACACACACACACACACACATCTCAGATGTAAAAGCATTTACTTACCAGTTATGTATATACCAAACAGCCTCATCACAACCTTAGGAGGCATACACAGTAAATGCCCATCAAATCACAAAGGTGAAATATCAATTTTGGTCACTCATGAATGGCAAGAAAGGTCCACAACATATATAGTTACTTGTGATGTTGCTGAAGTACAAATTTGAGTTGTGTAGGCCAGCAAGGCGCTAATATGCAGGAGTCAGTCACTTAGCCAAAGTGTGAAGAGACATATGAGTTTTCTTTTTCAAGGATTTTTTTCTTTTTTTCCTTTTTGTCAGTAGAGTAGTGTCTACTATTTACAACGCTGGTTCTTGTGCCAGACTATCTGGGTTTGAATCCTAGCTCTACCTCCAACTAGCAGTGTGACCATAAGCATCTCCCTGTGC